ATTTTACTTTTTAATTCAAATTTTAGTGTTTGGATAAAATTTAGGTATGTAATTTTAGTAATTAATAGTAAGAATTAATTTAATTTCCTATGGGATTGACACTCTATGCAATAATACGTATCTTAAAAACAATATAATGATGAATACAGTGTCGATCTCAAAGGGAATTGAATTAATTTTTACTATTAATTACTAAAATTACACACACTAATTTTATCCAAACACTGATATTTAAATTAAAAAACAAAATAAAATCAAACTTAAAAACTAAAACTAATCTAAATTTACTTAGCAAAATTAAATTTTTAAATTTGATTGACTTTTAGACCTAAGTTTATGATATCCCTAAATACTTCATCTGATTATTATTTGCCCCTTAACTTAGCTTAATGGATTAAGTTATTAACCTAGAATCCTAAATTATTTTCAAGTCTCTGTTGATTTTCTTATAAAAATATCTCTCTTAATTAACTTACTATATGTCTATACAAATTAAATTGAAAAGAGAGTTATTAAGTTCAAGCTCTAATTCTGACTATGTATAACTTATAGATGTATATCTACCCTATATGCAAATTGAACCACCTAATCAATTAAGTGCATTCAATCATATATTATTCTATTCAAAGTTTACTTAAATCTCTTTTGTTAAGATTTAACTTAAATTTTCAATTCAATCTAATTGGTGGCCAATCAACTAAAAATATTAAGAACAAAATAAAATAAACAGCTTAAACCCATCAAACATAAGCAAAAGAGAGATAAATAAATCAGACTACATATAGATTTCAATCATAATCTCATATAATTAATTTAATTCCCTATCAAGTCACACATTATCATCAAATTAAATTTAAACAATAAAATCAAACTAAGAAAATAAAAGAATAATAAAAGATAATAGAACTTAAGAATTGTAATCTTGATCTTCCAAATCTTCTTGAGTCCTTCAAATTCTTTTCAGCTTCAATGACTTTGTGGTTTAATTTTTAACTCTTAATCTAATATTTTGTTCCTTTCTCAAAATCTTCTAAAATATAGTTTTTATAAAACTTTGAAGTTAGGTCAAGTTGGGTGAAGAAATAATTCAATTTCAGCTAAGATTTTCTCATCAACCTACGTGAACTGCGACCGACCTCCACCAAAGCTACAGCCTCGACCAATTAATTAGCAGAAGTCGTAATTACTTTAAGACTATTACAGTGGTTCAAGTTCGACAAGATTTTTGATCATCTTTCAAGCCAAACTAGGTTAAGTATTAATATAAAAGTTGTAGCTTTTTCTCTTAACTTTCCAATGGTTTAAAAATCATTTCATTTGAAGTTTTGTAGAAAAAGTTTTAATTGAAATATTGAAACATATGTAGTGAAGATCTACACTTTAAAATTGCTTTATTTTTTCTATTAAAATTCTTCTTTCATTAAATGCTTACAAAAAGCACAAACAAATTAACAACAACTTATATTAACCACATTAACATCAAGTTAAGTATAAAATTAATTAAGATTAGATTGACTCACCTAAATTAATTAATTTAAAATAATATAAATAAAACTTACTAATTTTTATGTATTATCACAAAAAATAAGCTAAATTACAATCAAAATTAAGCTCAAATAACTCTATGTCATAGCGTTATTAGTTTCACTTTTTTTTCAGCTTATTTACCTATTAAAATCAGAAGTTGAATCAAATAGGATTTTGAGAAGCTCTTAAAATCTTTTAAAAAAAAAGTAACTTAAAAAAACAAAATCTAAAAAGACAAAACTTCAGAAAGAGATTAAAAAAAGAACTTTCTTTTTTCTTCTTTTAAAAACATGTTAACTTTCAGAATTTTTTTTTGTTTTAAGAATGTTTTCATCTATTAAAAATAATCTTAACATTACCCTCTTTAAAAATGCCTCCTCTCTTTCTCAATTGATCTCTCTTTTCTTTCCCTTTCTCTACAAATCACCTTTCCAACGTAATTAGCAATCTCTCTCTCTTCTAACTCTTTCCACAAAGACTACTTAGAAAAAAAACAAAGACACAACATTGATAAATAATAGAAATCAATAATTTATGAATTATTTATGAATTATATGTTACTTATAAATTTGTGAATTTTTTTTATGATTTATTATTAATTATAAATTTTATGTTATATAAAAATACTTTTTATATTTCTAAAAATTTGTTTTAAATAAAAAAATAAAGTTAACTTTTTTCTATTGTGAATAAAGAAATTTGTAATTAATAGAAATCATTTATTAAATACCTTTTATGGTAATTTTAACTAAAATTATAGCTTATATAAGTTATTTTGCCAAACAACTTATTTATAAAAAAAAAGTTTATAAAAGTAAATTTATTAAACAATTTTAACTTAATTTTAAAAGTTACTATTTTTAATAAGAACTTCATAATAACTTTTAAGTCAAAACAAAATCAAACATGCTTTTATTTTCATTCTCAATTTTAAATTTAGAATTTCAAATTTTAAATTAATTATAAGACCCATGTCAAAAAAAGTTGTACTTTTATTTTTTATATACATTATTACTCTTAAATTAAATATATTATTTATTAATCAACTTATATAATTTTACCAAAGCATTCACAACTTTAATTGTTACTTACGTCAAACAATTATCCAAAATTATATATATATCATTTTATTCTGAATATTTTATATTTGTATATTTGATGTAGTATAATTTCCTTTTCTCGTTATGAGTTTATATTTACATATTTATAAAATAACACTAATGATTTATATATTAATGTACAACAAATATAAACTCTTTTATTATATATTTGTTTATTTTTAGTGAAATAGATTCGGAAAAAATAAATACCCTTCCATAGTCCAAAGCCTAATAAATGAACCCACACCATCAACACTCTTTGGGCCGAGAGGCCTAGATTGAAGAGGCCTCCAGATAAAAATGGAGACGGGGAAGACCCGTAAATGGATAAAAAGTTAAAGACAGGACAAAACTGGACAGCCGTGAGTGTGAGTTAACAGCTTTTGCGAAGTCGAGTTGTTGACGAACGGTAGCTGTAAAAAGTGTGGGCAAATCCCAACTGTCGTCTGAATCTGCCCGAACTGTGAACAGAAGAAAGTAAATCTTACCCATCTTGAAACTTCGGTTCAAGCTCATCAAGAACAAGTCAAATCCTTGTCTTCCAGTGAACAGCAGGGATAATTTTCAGTTTTTATCTAAGGTGGGGAGGTTTAAGGTCAGTTTCTCTGCTTCCCTTCTCACCATTCATCATTTTGTTATCTGGGTTCTTCTGATTTCTGTTCTTTTGCTGTCTATGAATTGATATTTTTTTCCCAATTCATTCAATGCTCATAATTTACAGTTATGCTTGTAAAGTTGCAGATATTTGGAGTATATTTTAGGTTCTGGATTAGTAAGATTATATGTTTTGGGGCAAGGAACTTGTTTTTGTTGTTGTAGTACAGTCTTCACATGAAATCCTTTATGTCCAAGCCAAGCCTGCCATTGTTTTGCAATGTCGTCATCCAAAAAAAGAAAAGGAAAATTTAGAAATTGTTTCATGAAAGCAAAAGCTTGCTTCATTCTATTGCCTGTTGACAGCATTCTATAAAATCTATGTAGAAGTGGGGTACAGATTTTGCTAATTCTGAAAACTCTTATGTTCGTTTTTGATAAAATAAAGACAACTTATAGAATATTAACGCTAGCAGACCAGAATTTATGGAGTTGACACCAGTGATGACCATATTAACTGGACCCTTTTGTTACATTGTAAAACTTTTCCAATAATTAAGACCAAGCGATACTTATTGGTCATGCCATCATAACAAACAATATTTTGATGACATTTTAAAATAATCCACATTACTATTACTTTGTTCAGAGTGAAGAGTAGAAAACCTAAACCTTTCTGTAGGTGAGGACAGTGAGCCATGGCTTAAGTCTATTGAAATGTGTATTTATTTTTCTGTTCAGTCCGTTACCAAAGAACTTCAGTGAGGAATTGATCTCATTCCTTCTTTGTGCTTGCTACAGTGGCATTTCAGAGATAGATGAGTGCCAGCAGACAAAGGACCCTAGGGGGTGGGGGTCAGCATGTATTGGACTATCTGAGACGAATGCAAGCAGAGAATCCTTCATTCTTTTATGCAATTCAAGGTGATAGTGACCACACTGGTGGAAGCATATTTTGGGCAGAGGCAACATCAAGGATGAATTATACTTACTTTGGGGATACTGTTATTTTTGACACAACATATAGGACAAATCGCTACAGGGTACCATTTGCCTCATTCACAGGACTAAACCACCATGGGCAGCCGGTGTTGTTTGGATGTGCTTTAATTCTCAATGAGTCCGAGTCCTCTTTTGTGTGGCTATTACAAACTTGGCTTCATGCAATGTCTGACCACCACCCTGTATCTATAACAACTGACCCTGATCGTCTCATACAGATGGCTGTTGCGCAGATTCTTCCGGAAACACGCCTTCGTTTCAATAAATGGAGCATTTTCAAAGAAACCCAAGAGAAACTAGCTCAACTATACCAATCACATCCTACTTTTGAAGCAGAATTTAGGAAATGTATTAATGAGACCGAGACGATTCATGAGTTTGAATCATCTTGGGTATCGCTTCTGGAAAGGTACTTTGTCATGGATAATGAATGGCTTCAGTCAATGCACAATGCTCGGCAACAGTGGGTCCCTGTTTATATGCGAGATACGTTCTTTGGGGACCTATCTATAAGTGAGGGAACTGGAGGTTTAAACTCATTCTTTGAAGGGTTTGTGAATCCATCAACCACCGTACAGATGTTGATTAAACAGTACGAGAAAGCTGTAGCTACTTGGCATGAGAAAGAATTAAAGGCAGATTATGATTCCACTAACACTACACCAGTTCTTAAGACACCATCACCCATGGAAAAACAAGCAGCTAACCTCTTTACAAGAAGAATATTCATGAAGTTCCAAGAGGAGTTGGTAGAGACCCTTGCTAATCCTGCAACTAAAATTGATGACTCAGGAACTGTCATAACATATCGGGTGGCCAAATTTGGGGAAGACCACAAAGCACACACTGTTAGCTTCAATTCTTTTGAGATGAAATCTTGTTGCAGCTGCCAAATGTTTGAAAATTCTGGAATAATATGCAGGCATATATTAGCAGTTTTCAGAGCAAAAAATGTTCTTACACTTCCTTCACAATATTTACTAAAACGATGGACAAGAAATGCCAAAAGTGGAGCTGTGTTGGAGGAACGTGCTTCTGAATTGCCAAATAATTCTCGGGAGTCCTTAACAGTTCGGTATAACAGTCTACGTCAAGAAGCTATTAAGTATGTTGAAGAAGGGGCAAAATCTATTCACATTTACAATGTGGCAATGGATGCTTTACAAGAGGCAGTGAAAAAGGTTGATGCTGCAAAACACCAAAGCCCTGCCGCTGCAGAAGATGGAGCATTGAGCAATGGAGGCGATCAAGAGTTGCATGCAGCTGGAGATACTCAGGCAGTGGCATGTCAATCTGCGGTTAGTGCCTCCTACCTCAGGACATTATCTAACTTGCTAATGTCCCCTGGTTATTAAGCTTCTGAAATGGACTATATTGCAAATTCATTTCATTGTTTGATGATTATTTATGCCTCTTTCGAGGGCCAACCAAGAATAGGAATCTGTGCTGTTTAAAGCTAATCTTGAAGTCACTAAGTGTAGGCTTTAACCGTTTAGAAACATGATTACTTATCTTTCCTATAGAGGTTCTGAATATTTTGTCTATTTTTACCTAACAGTTTGTTTAATCAACAAATTAGGTAATTGCATTTAGGTGTATCAGCACAAATAATACTATAAAAACCTCCCCTTTGGTCAGTCAATAGGCATGTATTGATTTGATCTTGTTCTTTTCTTGGTACATTCATCAAGTCATAACAACAATATTCATCTGACAATAAAAGTGATATTTTCAAATGGTCCCTTGCGAACCTTCATTACTCCATTATTCCTTTCTTTTTTTATAGTTCATTATTGGAGTAAAATTTAGTTAACATATCGATATAACTCTCATCAGTAGTAACTTTTTCACACAAGTGCCACAATGATTCTAGTTAGCTTCATAACAGTTCAGTTTACCACTCTTTTGTTCTTTTTATTTTCAAGGTCTTTATTTAAAGAGGTAAAAAAGAATCCTTGGATGACCTGCTCCGCTGATTGAGCCCCTCACCGTCTAATGCTTAATTCCAAACCAAGGTCTTTTCCTTCCCACAAGGGATTGAATATGTCCATTAATGCAGTGAGTCATTTAATGAGCTCTATAAGAAACTCTTGATCTTGAGACTGGTTTAACTGTCCTGTGTGTCAATAAATAGAAACTACCTTTTTTATGAATCATGCCTTCAACTGATATTGTGGCATACTGATGGTCCTTTATTTCAACTTTTAATTTGAATTTTCTAGAGAGAGAGAGAAGAAAATCTAGGTTGATAGTCTCTGGGCTTAACTTGAAATACACACATAAATATATAAAAACTTTTCGCACTCTCTTTGCGGAGAGGGATACAAGATGCATACTTCCTGGAAATTTGCAATGAATTCATTAATGTTTGATCCTTTCGAGCACCATGCTTCAATGGGTTGACACATATACATTTAATGAATAAAAAAGAGGTTCTTGCATATCATGACTGCTTTCTTCTGATCCTTTCAAGCATCAGGCTTCAATAAGTTGACACATACCGATGTAATGAAGAAAAAAGAAGTTCCTTCATACTTTCTTCTTCACAAATTCTTCTATGCCCCATGTTGGATTAGAACATTGTCCTCCCAATACGAGGATAGATATGATCATATATAAGATGGTATATGACCCTAGTGTTCATTTAACTCAAACAATGTAATGTAAGATAAATAGTTTCATAAGGATCTCTCTTGACACATTCATCAATTCTTTCTTTTTTTTTTGTGACAAGTGTGTTAATTGTGCTTCTGTGTTATCATCATCATTTTATAATTAAGATCTCTGTTATTTTTCCCATCACTCAGGATGAGAAGGAAAAGAAAATTCGTGAATTGACTGTGGAGTTGGAGAGCACAAACCAGCGATGTGAAGTGTATAGAGCCAATCTGCTGGCTGTTTTGAGGGATATGGAAGAACAGAAGTTAAAGCTGTCTGTTAAAGTTCAAAACGCAAGGCTTAGTTTGAAAGAGTGAAGGTAATCTGTGAAGAAATGTTAGCAGAATGAGTCTTTCCCATACTGATAGTTATTATTTTAGCTTCTCAGAGGATTCGGCAAGAATTGATCATGACCGGTGGGGTTAATTTGCCATAAATACAATGTAGTTTAGATTGTATGAAAAAAATTGATAGGTTCTTCAGATGGTGAGAGCAGCACTCTAGTTTCCACCTACCCTTTTTCAGCAAAGAGGCAGACGGACAGTTGTCATGATCATATGATCCATGTGCATCGAGAACCTCAAGACTTTTTCCCTCTGAGAGTGAACCTGAGACATAAGAAAGCAACTGGATAATCATAAAACTCTTATCAGATAATCATTATATGTTGCATACCAGCCGCAAGCCATCTCATGGAATAGGTAATACTAACGATCACTGCCTGCAAATATAGTTGCTTCAAACACTGACATAAATGGCAAGCCTTCTCCTAAGTTTTGCAAAACGAACGATAGTGATGGTGGCCTAACATAATTGGCTAATGATGCGTAGACAAAAGGTATAGCCCTTACAGGAAGATGCAATAAAATACAGACAAAACCCTTAACCAAAAAGGATCTGCACCAATTAATCTGTGATGCGCCTACTGTGTGTATAAACCAAAATCGACTGGTTGACAGGAATAGAGCAACAGACCGTCCCTTCCCCTCATACTTCATAGTCATAGGTGAGCAGCAACATTTCTTTCTGGAGTTTATAGAAGATTCTGGACCCGCATAGACACTTGCTTTTAAGAAAACTACCATATGTAGAAAAAAGTTGAGCGTTTTAGACCCAACTAGAATAGTTGAAAGTGTTCTTCAGACTAGATGATTGACACAGGGCCACCAATCTCCACAGATTTCCTTTTTCTTTTTCTTTTTTTCCCTTAAATAATCTCAGTAGAGTTCACAAAAAGAAACTAATCACTCAAATTGACAAATTATGCACCTAATGACATCAATTATACTATACATGGCAACAAACTGATGCCTTCCTAATTTCTCTACAGCATTCAAAGGTGAAGCGAAGCCCAGCCCAATTAGGAGGGTAGGGTAGAAGACAGATTTGAAATACAAGATCAGATGAGATAAATCAATGTTACATGGTAGAAACGTATTTGCAACATCAGAGGCCATCCTTCATACTGATCTTTATATTTTGCACTTTAATTGACAACTGTAGCTTATGGTCTTCGATGTCTTTTAAAACAGAAAGCAAGTTAGCCCTGTAAACTTCACACTTTCGACTTGCAAACTCCAGCTCATTGGCAAGTTCTCGGATTTTCTTGTCCATATCATCCTGAAAACAATGAAGCACCAGAGTCATTTTCATTTTCCATTTTTTTCACATATGCGCATATTTAATGTCATTATTATTTAACCGTGTCAAGCAAAACGACAGTGATAATGTGATATATGTCAAAACCAGATTGTTTACATCCTATGAATCATTGAACAGAATCCTGAAGACAGTCCACATCATATGTCTCAAAATCTATATGGTCAAACGGCAACATAGAAGAAAGCATCATATTCAATTCACCATTCCGTATTAACATGTAATGCTTTGCATAATCCTCGAGCGTTACCTTTAGCAAATGAAAGATACCATGCTTAGACCCAAACTTGTAACAAGATTGTTGGTGAACAAGAATAGAGAAATAAGTAGAATATACAATGCAAGTAGCATTTCACAATAATTTGAGCAAAAGCGTAACGAATCGCGAAACCAGGTATGTCAAAACCAAAAAAAACATCCAACAGATTTCAATCTGAATGTCCTTGCTACCAAATTTTTTGAGAGAGAAGAATTATCAATAAACAATTCAGAAGAATAACTAATAATAATAATCAACAAGTGAAGAAGATGAATCTAGCTCTCCATAGGTATCAAGGTTATAAACTGTAAGTTTTCATCGCAGGTGTTTAAATGAAGAGAAACATAGTGATGAACATAGTTAACTTACAACTTAATGCAGATAATGCATTTCACGTCAAACAAACAAGGCTTCTTAACAGTAAAATGAAGAGCTAAGACATAATTGTCAAAACGAAAGTAGCAGATGCACTAAACCTAGGGCACTTGCTACAAAATGGATTTCTGAGTACATGTATTTTAGTCTCAAGCCCTGCCCACGGAGGTAAGTCAATGCCTTTCCTATTCCCATTGAAACTAGAACTTGGGTGCTCCCCTTGAAGATGAACATGAAATCAAAGAACTTACAACTGCATTTTGTAGAGCTAAAGACAATATGTTCAATGAAATATCCATGGAATATAGCAAGTTTCAATAGAAATAATCTCTCTCAGTGATAAGGCTTACTACAACAATAACAAATTTAAGTCAGGTACCTTAGAAAATGAGAAAACGAAACATTTACAGCAAAGTTCAACAAGAACCTTAAAACAAATTCATGTATGTAGAATTTTCATTCAGTAGGTTATATGTAGAACAAGCAACAGAAATAATTGAGTAATCATTCTGACCTCAGACAAAGGTTGGCTGGGCACTCTGTGATTAGTAGTATTTGCCCGATCACGTGCGGAGTTCCCCCTGACACGCCCATTGACCATCATAGTCCTCCCCTCATTCTTTGCTGCAAGTGCAACTCTTTTTGCAGCCTCTTGGAGAGCACCTATTGCCACATTGTAAGTGTCTAAAGACTTTGATCCTTCCTCAACAAACTTGAAGGCCTCATGACGCAGGGTATTATACCGAACAGTATGAGATTCTAGATAATTAGTATATACATCACTAGCACGTTCTTCTAATATAACACTACTCTTGGCATTTCTTGTCCATCGTTTCAAAATATAATGAGATGGGAGAGTAAGGACATTTGTTACTCTGAAAACTGCCAATACATGTCTACAAAGAAGACCAGAGAACTCAAACATCTGGCAGCTACAAGTGGCTTTCATTTCTAAAACATTGAACTTAACATAGTAGGTTTTATGATCCTCCCCAAACTTTGCCACCTGATATGTTATGATGTCACCATCATCATCTGATTTAGATGCCATGAATGTCAGAGTCCCAACTAGCTCCTCTTGAAATCTCGCAAACAGTTTTCTGGTATAAAGTTCTGATGCTTGTTTCTCCATTGGAGATGGGGTCTTCAGAGCAGGGGAAGTGTTCATTGTATCATAATCCGCTTTTACTTCTTTCTCATTACGACTCTCCAGAGCTTTCTCATACAGCTTAAAGAACTGATTCAGATTGGTTGAAGCATTCACAAAACCATCAAAGTATGAGTTCATGCTATCACTTCGTTGGGTTATAGACATTTCGGCAAAAAAAGTGTCCCGCAGGTATACAGGGACCCACTGCCTCCGGTCATTGTATATTATCTGAAGCCATTCATGATCCCTGAGTTCATACCGATCTACAAGTGACAACCAACAAGACTCAAATTCCTCAGTCGATTCAGGCAAGTTAACACACTTATGGAAATCTGCTTCAAAAGTTGGATGCTTGAGGAACACTTGGGACAACTTCTCTTGGCATTTCTTGAAGATGTGCCATTTGCAGAAGCGGTGCCGAGTCTCAGGGAAGACCTGCATAACTGCTGACCGAATAACAGCATCATGATCAGTGGTGATGGACACTGGAGGGCGACCAGACATTGCCATAAGCCAAGTCTTAAACAGCCAAATAAATGATGCTTCAGATTCATTTATTAAGAATGCACAGCCAAACAAAACTGGTTGTCCGTGGTGGTTTACTCCGGTGAAAGGTGCAAAAGGCAGCCGATATCTGTTCGACCTATATGTAGTATCAAAGGTAACAGTATCCCCAAAGAAAGTATAATTCATCCTAGACTTTGGATCAGCCCAAAACACATTACTCATCAAAGCTTGATCCTCATCACCCTGCACAGCATAAAAGAAATTTGGGTTCTCAGCTTGCATTTGCCTCAAATAATCCAAAAGCAATTGAATATCTCCTTCTAAGCTCCTCTGCCGATTATTCCTCATATAATTCCTACAATCCACTTCTGTAAATCCAACCTTACTAATTCCACCATATTCTTTTATTAAAGCAGACATAATCCTACGAGGGCCCATTCCAGCAGCCTGCAATGTATCAATCAAAGTCTTAGCAGGCCCAGATATTTGCCTATGAGACCGAAGACAATGAACCTGATCAGGCGGAACAAGCTCGTGATTATGCTCCCTAACAAATCCAGACACAACCCATTTCCCAGAATCCTGCATCTTAACCGACAAAGAAGCCTTACATCCTACTCTAGTAATAGTACGAGGACGCTTGATCTCCCTATCTTTTGTTCTTTTCTCATTCAAATTCCTAAACCCTTCTTTGGCACAAACAAATTGTCTCTGAATAATTGCTCCATCGCGCCTGGAACGACGAGAAGAACTTACACGTGTACTAAAACCAACACGGCGAGCGTAGGAATTGTAAAAGGCCTTGGCGGCTTCTTCAGACTCAAATTCCATACCTTCATAAGGCTCAAGATCCAGTAGGTCCCCTTCTGGAACGTAAATTTCACTGCCACCGCTGCCAAAGCCACCGCCATTGCTATTAGAAGCAAGGATTGAAGGGGCAGGGCTATCCGCCATGTCCTCGTCCACGTCTAACCCTATGTTGGCATCATCATCGCCGTCCCGAGCGCTGCTACCTCCTCCGCCTAAGCCTATATCGAATTCGAGAACCTCGGGGTCCATGCAATTGAATTTTTTGAAAAGGATGACAAAATTTAATGTCCTGAAAGTGGGATTGAAGTGGTAAAAAAAGAAGTCAGCTTCACCGTGGCAGACATGAACAAAACGATGGACGCGCTAGGGTTTGTAGAGAGAAATGAAGAAAGGAGAGAAACCCTAGAATTGAGATTAAAAAGGGGATTTTATTAAGAAAGGGAAATTGAAATTATGAATAAATATGGGTAAACAGAAAAAAAGTGAAAGAAAGAGTGGAAGTTGAGAGGAAAAAAAGCCTGCAAATTGCGAAAGGGTTGAGAGAGAGAGAACGGTGAATTTGGAATTTCGGATTACGGAATACGGAGTTGGAGTGGTTGCGTTTTGCTACGGTTCAGTTTGGCTCTACTAATCGCTGCATATCTTATCACCGTCTGATTAGAATAACATGTTGGCCAAAAGTATGATCTTTTTAGGTATAATATCTAAAAACCTTTGAAATT